AAAAAAGAAAATGAATGCACCTTGAGACCATAGTACTAAATGAAATCAGTGACACACAGAAGGTTAAATATAACATGGTTTCCCTTATTTGAGAAACAGAAGTATAAAGAATAAAATAGAAAATAGGAAACAGGGAAGTAGTCCTTTTGCAGCTAGGAAAGCAATGTAAAGATGGAGGGAGAGAGGAGGTAATAGGAAAGGGGAAGTAAAAAGGATTAAGTTGTAACATGTACTAGTCCCCATGATGAATGTATGAATGTATTACGTATCACAAACATGTACTAATATCTTATATGTGTGTATATATATATACTGTAATTGATGTGTAACTTATATACAACTGTTGTTCCTCCTTAAAGTTGTTCAAACAATGACATTACATGGTTTTATCATATTACATAAAAAAAAGAGAAGCTAAAGTGGAGACTGAAGCTCAATGAACAGAACAGAGATGAAAAGAGAGGCATTACCAAAAAATTAGAAATACATATACTTTATGAAGTTACATTAGTTTTTTGTTTTGACCTGTTTGTTAATTACATACAAAAATGAATTGTCTTTTTGAATATTAAAAAAATAAATAAAGTAATACAGAGTACTAAAGTTTTAGTGATAGGGCAAAAAGTAAGATTTAGGTGTACTGTAAGTACTGTTCATCCAAATTAGCTATGTTGGTCTTTGTTAAATGTATGTATGGACTGTAGCTCAATTAATACTAATTCAGATATTTTAGTTATTTTTAGTATTTTTAGAAATGGAAAGTAAAGGGCTGGGGAGATGGCTTAGTAGAATAAGCACAAGGGCCTGAGTTCAATCCCTGGTTCCGCAAAAAAAAAAAAAGAAGAAGAAGAAGAAAAGGAAATGGAAAGTAAATTGGAAAGGTAGCTTTAAAAATCTTAGTATTTTTTGTGGTACCTAATAAAAAAAGAATATCTACAGTATAATACTGTGTTTTCTAATTTTCACAGAATCTTTTGAACATATGAAGAAATCTGGGGATTATTATGTTATAGTTGTGGAAGATGTGACCCTAGGACAAATTGTTGCTACCGCAACTCTGATAATTGAGCATAAATTCATCCATTCCTGTGCAAAGGTATATGTTCATATTAATGTCTGCCTGTAAAGTGGATAGGTATTCTCTAGGAAGATGAACCCTGAATTTCTATTAGACATACCTGTTTCCGTCATTGCTTTACATGATTCTAAGAAATCCGTTCTTACCAGGTATTTTTGTGGTGTATTTCTGAGAGCTACAAAAGGCAGAGAATGTAGTAGTATGAATTATTTGTTGACAATATTCTGTAAAGGTGTCAGATTTGGTGCACTCATAGAAAAACTGCATATGACATAAGAGTTTAGAATCCCTCATGGTCTATTTCTTCAGAAATAGTGCTTCAATTATATTACATTTGTACACATTTCTGTCAGTTTCCATGTCATGAAATACTATACCATAATTCTGTTCTAATTGGGACACTTAAAATGTTTGTTTTGTAGTGCTCTTTCATCCCTCATACACTCGCATGAGATAGTAAAAATAAGAAAACTCCCAACATAGTTACAGAAAAGTTGGAGCAAACCAAGATCACAAGTTCAAAGCTAACTTGGGCAACTTAGGAAGACCTTGTCTTAGTACAGAAACTGAAAAGGATGGGTAGCTGTGAATAGTGTTCAATCCCTTGCAAAAAAGAAAAAGGATTTTAGGAACATTTGGCATATAGTCTATAGCCGATGGATTCTGATGGGGTTATGAGGCTTCTGCACTAGGAAAAGAGAAATCTTACCTGGCTGTTTAAAATAAATTACTACTATGCAAAAAACTTTATGACAAGATTACACTTTCATATGGATTCTGAGATTTACTTTTAAAAAATGGATTAGGGAGGTTAGGAGTATAGTCAAAAAAGTACAAAAGTAATTAAGCCCTACATTGATTCTTTAAAGCTATTTCCTCTAGGACAATTAAAAAAAGGGTTTTTTTTGGCAGAACTGGGGATGGAACTCAGGCCCTTGCGCTTGCAAGGCAAGCACTTATTCTACTGAGCCAGCTCCCCGGCCCTAGGTTTTGAAGTTTTTTATAAAGCTCAAGTTT